AAACACTTTGTTACTACATCAAGTGCTAAGAAGCTGCTGTGCAAAACATCAGAAAAAAGAATACTAAAAAACAAATGCTGATTTTTCACAACTTATCTTTATTAATAAGAACTGAAGTGTTACACCAATAAGGTGCCTGTCATATCATCTGGAAGGCAGAAAGGTAAAAATAATTAAATCATAGCTAACAAGGCCTAGGTTTCTTGTGGGCATTTTTTTCCATTTGGAATCTGTTTATAAGGGTGTATTTTCTCCAAAGTTAAACTGCAGGTCTAACATTTAATTCCTAACAGCTGTACATTGAGAAACACAGGAAAAACATGAAGCAATATAATAAAATATAGGAGACATAAAATAAATATAGAGAAAAGGCTTCCTCTTACTGATTTGTTTTGCCTGCTTGGAGAACTGAGATGGGTTTTTGTCTTAAAATACAGTAGGAAATTACAGTTTTAATACAGGAATATTTTAGATTAGACAACTCAGATTAATTCGTAGGTGTAGTAATATTGGAAGACTGATATAAAATTAGTATTAAAATGTTGCAAATATACTGTTCTTTTTTAAAAAAAAAACCTGCCCCTGGTCCCTAAATATGTTGAAATTATACCCATATCCCAACCCTATGACATCAAATATGATTTCCTAACAAAAATTTAAACAATACTTTTGCAACTTAGATCTGTAAAATATCCCCGTACAGTAGTATAGAAATACAACGTATATAAAACTTTTTGAAAGTTATTGGGAGAACTATTGTCAAGGCAGCCTGATGAATTATTTCATAAAGCTTTCCTATCTATGAACAAAAGCCTGCAAAAGTATGATGAAATATATGATGGGAAAAAGAGAATGAGCCAGTGACATTTTTCTAAGTTTTCCTGAAGTAAATGTAATTATACTTCACATACCTACCACACCACACCTTCACCCCTAGAAGATGCCATATTGCTCCTGTGGCCTCAGTAGCTCAGGATTAAAATGTTCTGTGCCAGTCCTTGATCAATTAAGCATATTCCAGAATGGCTTACATAAATTTCTTAGAACAGCAAAGTATAAACACACATAAAACTAAAACCAAACAAGCAATGTAGCAAAGAAAAGACAAAATAGATTGCAAATTTAATTCAATTTCAAATGTCTCCTGAAAATGCTTAGGCAAGCAAGAGTGTTCAATATGGTTCCAACAAGTGAAAGGTATGGTATTTTTAAAAAGTGTACAACAACTGAAGCAACATAATAGGCTCATCTCTTATGCTGTGTCTGTCAGCCTTGGGGTTAAATTTAGTGCAGGCCTCAGGTACCTGTCATCTTCTGATGTTGCTGAATTAGAATTTCCAGGAACTCTCACGTTTAACCACAAGCCTAGCTAGGGCTGCTGGAAGCTGTAGGTCAGCAACATCTGAGGGTCACAGCCCCAGCCATGGCTTTGCCAGCTTAAAAAAGGGTGAAATGATGGCAACTAGCATTTAAAATACACCCTTTGCTCAAAATAATTTTCATAAAGGAAAGATAAAATTGCACATACCTGATAAAATTATTCTAATTATTCTCTTTATTATGCTGTATGTGATAGACACCATAAAAGAAGTCACTTCCTTATTGAACATTTGTTGATTAGAGATCTAGATCTAGTATCATAAATATGTACATCCATAAATTAAACATTTAATCAAACATATAAATAAATTAGTTTAAAATAATTTGCCTAAACAAAATAACTTTTGTTTAAAACTTCCTTTCAGTAAAAATCAATGGGCTATTGAAGGTATTTCAGCACACTGCACTTTGCCAACCCTGTCAAATAGACAAAATATCCAGACTATTAGAAGAAGAAGAATCAGTGAAAAAATTGTATTATCAAACATGTAACTTCGGGGCCTCAAAAATATACTCCATTTATGGAGTGCTTTATCCTCCTTCATCTTTCTGACATAAGCAAGAAGGTAATGATGCAGCTAATTTGCCACAACCAATTGCATACAGAGCTCCTCACCTGCACACAGAAATATGGGCTGCTTTCTATGCCAATTCTTTTCCAAGCACAGTGCTGCTTTCCTCACTTGAAATGTGGGTTCACTGGGAATTATCCCAGCCTGCTCAGAAGATTCAAGACAGCTGGACAGCAGGATGACTCTGGACTACACTTTGGATGGCCTTTTCAGTCAGATGCAGAGCATAGAGGCCGAGACATTCTTGGAAATAAAGATGAAGCTGGAGACATGCCCATTTAAAATTAAATGGATCTTTACAAATTAAATCTTCAAGGAAATGTTAATACCAAGGAAGTTAAGTATTAGCACATTATGCCTATTGGCACCTTGTTGGGGATCCCAGGTTGATCTCATTCCGTCAGCAAACAATCTAAGACAACTGACAGGTATGAAATCAATTGTCCCTACAACCATGGAAAATTGTTTACCTTTGATTATGCCCAGAATTGGACACCCAACCATCAGTTGCTAATTAATCTTCCTGCCACAGCCTGTCTTGTAGAAGATGAAAAAGCCAAACTATCATCAAGATGTGTAAAGATCTGTAGAATTCTTACAAGCCATCTTATAAATACCCTGAAAGTATTATGGAGGCTAGAATAGGCTAGAATATTATATGGATATATGTAATACCTGGAACTTAAATGCAGACATTAATACTTAATTAATTAAGTCCTTAATTAAAGTCACCAGAGGCAAGATCAGTCTTCTCAGATATAGTGGTTATACCCAAGGGCCTTTTAATATGCTCATTTTCTAAATTCAGGCAGGTAATGATCAGGAGAAGGGCCTTTTCATTCATGGCAGCCCCGTATTTGTTTAACTATATGCTGCTTTCCCATGCAATTTTCTCAAAATAGGGACCAGTCCCTGCAGTTTTCTTGGCAAAGCTTTTCGGAAGTGATTTGCCATTGCCTCCTTCCTAGGGCTGAGAGAGAGTGATTGGCCCAAGGTCACACAGCTGGCTTTGTGCCTATGGCAGAACTAGAACTCACAGTCTCCTGGTTTCTAGCCTGATGCCTTAGCCACTACACCAAAATGGCTCTCCACAATAAAATTATAATAGATTAAAAACAATCATCCGAAGAATAACTGCATTCATACAGGGAAGGCCTCACAGCATTTGTAAGACTCCAGCAAAGGCTTAATAACCCTAATACAAAGGCATCTTCTAGATAATAGGGAGGAGAGTGTTCTAGAGAACAGGCATATCAGAATCAAAGAAATAAACAACTTATGCGAGACTGAGCAAGACAATTCCAGGATAAAACAAGCTACCTCCATCCTGAAGCCATGGCTGGACATGGCTAGCTGAAAATCTTTAATTCTACCATGACTTGCAGTTTATGGACATGGAGAGCACAGCCAATACAATAAATAAATGCCATATCCAATGCAGAGTTGGGGATTAAACTATAAAAAAGGACTGATGGCCAAAGCATTCTGCCTTGCCCAAGTAGTTCCCTCCCACCACATTTCTCTCTTCCTGGCTTTCTAGTTAGCCAGAAAGAAGGTGCTTTAAAAACAAATGTATTTCAGACCTATGCTTTGACTCTTCAGGTTGTCACTTGTGTTATGAAGTGAGAGGTACAGATGCATAAGGAAAGGGTGACTAGTTTAGAGTGCCTTGGTCTCTGTTCACAGAAGCGATGCCATTTTGAGAGCTTTTACCTACTCTAACTCATTTTCAGCATTCCCAAAACACAAGATAGGTGGTTGGAGAAGCAGAGGACACAGAAAAAGCTCTGACCATCTTGTCTCTTACGCTGAGCTTCCTATCAGCAGCAGGTTCCTACAGGGGCTTTCTACTTTTATATGACAGGGAAGGGGAGCAAAGGAGGTAACAATGAGCCTCTCCAGCCATGGTTTTTGTCACAGCTCTTGGGTAAGAAACAGAACTGTAAAGGAACGACAGGAACGCAAAAGCATTGCAAATCTGTTTACTGTCCAATGGAGGATTCCTGTCCAGCTGTCTTGCATCCTGTGCCAGATGACACTGAAGCAGCCCACGTGCACAGAAAGGGATAGTAGAAATCTATCTGAGGAGACATTTTACATTTATTTGAAGATGGAAAGACAATAATGGAAAGGTATACAGACCATCTCAAGCATTCTAGGTACTTCACAAGTACTATCTCAGTAAGTCTACAAAGTCGGTGTTACTATTATCCCTGTACTGAAAGTTGTGTTCGGAAATTAAGACGGAGTGGCTGACACAGAGCCACTGTGAGTTCTAATGATTCCCAGCTGGGTACTTCCTGACTCACAGCCCGGCTCATGCCCTAAACCACAATTACAGCAAGAAAAGAATGTCTTTTAAAAATGAATTTTACATCGTTGCCTTAGAGTACACACACAGACGCATACATAATCTTTTAAATAGATAACCGGCATTAGAAATAACACCACCATTTCTTTTCTTTTTTTTTTTGGAGACATTCATTGCTGCTTTTATCTGAGATAGAAAGTAACAATTTTAAGGATTTTTAATTAAAAAAAAGTAAGGAATTTAAACATTTTTAAGTTGGGTGGTATTTGGGGTTTCTTAATCAGAATTTGTCTTTTGTCCTGAAATGTTTTTGAATACAATGATGGTTTATTTGTTCTTTTGGCTCTTTCATAAATTTGCTTCAAAGCACCTACTTTTAAAATGGAGGGGAGTTTTATTGTGTGTGTGTGTGAAGTGGCACCTATTGCTATTTAACTTTAAAAAAAAATCCATGAAAACCTTTCAAAACAAACAAGCAAATAAATACAATATTTTTTAAAAGGAATTTAAAAAGAGACAGGTATTTTTACTTGGGGTTGGAAAATGTCTTTCTATTTTATTCTAATATCACTTCCTAGTTGAGAATTTAGTCTTTTTTCTGGTCCCTAATCACCATGGAAAACAGCAGATGTGTAACCTCTGCAGTGACAACAGCTTTCCATTCTTCTCTCATATAAATTCATAAGAGCTGAATTAATATCACAAGCCCATGAATCCCCATATTTATACAGCAAGGTTTTAGGGAATCAAGACTGGATTTCATATCTAGTGATTAAAATGTACCTAAAACTATTCCAAATGGGTACTGAAACATGCCAATCTCCACTTCCATCCAACACAATTGCTAGGGCTAGTTTTACCTGATCCATCTACATAATCATTTAAACTGTTTCTTTCATATTTTAAGTGATTAAATAATCACTGTAGTAAAATGACACATTCAAGAAGGCCCTTCTTTTAGCTGTATTAAGCATACTGACCATTCGCTAAACAGAACTGACAACCCATTAATACCCCTGTGCAGATTAATCTTCCTTAGTCCATCTTGAGTCAGAGTCCCAAAGCAGAATTCTAGCGACAACTGTACTTCTTTATGTTCCATTTTTCATCTCCCATTCCTAGAAAGAAAGAAAGAAAGAAAGAAAGAAAGAAAGAAAGAAAGAAAGAAAGAAAGAAAGAAAGAAAGAAAGAAAA